ATTTTTTCTATTTGAAAAAATAAAATAAAAATATAATTTTAAGGATTTTAATTACATGCCTAATATTTAAATAATTGTATTTTATAAATTTTGTGAAAAGGAAAACTGTAATCCGTGTAGAATTTAAAATTTTAATTTATATAAATAACACCATTTCAAAATACACCATTATTTTTCTCTTTGCAGAAAATATTTACTACTTCTTCATTAAGTTTAAGTTTAAGTTAAGGTAATTTCCGTTAATGGGTATTTACTTGGGGATTGTTCTAGAAATATTGTGTTTATATTTGGACCGATTTCCGGTCGTCATTTTAATGGAAGCTGGTTATTTATAGATGTTTGTTGTTACACAATTAGCGGAGGAATTATTGCTGATAGATTTAGTTAAAAAAATTTTAAAAATTTTTAAAGTTTATATATTTTTTCATACGAATATTTTACTTCAATTACGCGGAAATAGTATGTTTTAGGTTATGAATATTAATAATGTTGTAATTTTAGGGAATATTTCATTATAAACTGGTGAAACATTGGCAATGCAGCAGAACTATGGTTTAATATTTATTCTCGGAACACATATACATACACAAGCAGAATCTGCATCAATGTTTTACGTGTACTTTGACGAACAGTAGTAAATACGGATTCTGGTTGTTTATAATACGAATAATAAATTTACAATTCTCAAAATTTAAACAATTTAAATTATAATTTAAAAATTTCAAAATTTGTTAGTAAGCGGATAACTTAACAACGCCTAGACCAATTTGGTCAATTCTTTTTTTTAAATGTTTGTTAAAGTCCAAGGATGGTTTTTACGCAAAGAGAAATTGGAATAATTGCTTGGAAAACCCTAAAGACAGTCTTTTTCTATAAGATAAAAGTTGGCACTGACATTCAATCATAGTTATAGTTAAATAGTTGAATCCGAGGTGGCACGTTGAAGTGCATTATTAGTAATTCTTTATATAATTAATTTCTTTAAAATATAATTGCGAATCTTATTTTAGAATTGACACATACTATGCCTAGAACAAGAGTGTAAAAACGAATTACATTTTTATTAAACACTACCGGGACGAATTTTCTGATTAAGCCAATTTCCAAGAATCGAAAATTTATTATTTTGGAAATGTCAAATGCAAACTACTCAATGATTAGTTTCCCAAGTGCTTCATGATTGTTTATTTTTTGCTTAGCTGAGTACCTGCTCAAATTGCAAAGTCCATTACCGCAACTTTGGGCAGCACTCACGAACATTTCCATCGTAATCGATGTCAGTTTTGGTAACGAATCTACGACCAGTGGTTTGCAGGCTATAGCCAACTAATAATAATTAAGTGCACTCGAGCATCTGCATTCCGGTGCAGTGCACATGCAACTGAATTGGACGAAACTGTCGACGGGTCTATATTTTCCGATTTGACTGCTCGAGCTGAAGTGTGCGGAGTGTTGGAAGTCCGAAACGTGAAAGCGACCGACTCGAAGTTGGTAAATTGTTGAATTGAAAGCTTTGCGACTCCTACGTTGCCAGCAAGGGTCGTTTATTGTTATCAAGTGCTCGGTTTCAAGCATCTTTTATTTGCTTCCGACGTTTTTTACACAAAAGTACAAAATGAGGGTTTTACACACTAAAAATAGTTTAATTTAACTTCACTCAGTAATAACGTGCGAAGAAATACTCTTCATGCTAAAAAAATAATATATGACACAATGTTTCATATGAAAACACCAATGGTTATGATAAATTAACCTTTTCACCACCCGGAGGCAGTGAAGCCGTGTCGTTGCATGCAGATGAGCCAGGTTTTTATTAGTGTAACCCCGCACAACGCAATTCCAACTCCAACTGAATAAAAAATCTAAACCATGGCACAAAAACAAGAGGACACAGCCAAGCACAATACGACAATAAATAAACTGAATACCTCCGCGTCGGTACGGATGCGTCGATGCGCTCGTTGAGATAGAATCTGACGTTGAGGTGTGAGAAGCGTCTGGATGCAGTGGAGCGCACTGGGCTACTACATCTACCAGGATTGTTTGTTACCCCTAGAGGGCTTACAATCTCATTGGTTCTTGCGTCGGCTTTATTCGATTAACTAATTATAACTTAACTTGCCGTGAGCGGATTGTTTTTTTTTTTTTTGAATATTTTATTAACATTTGTGGAAAATAAAAACAAGAAAAACTACTTGTCGGGACAAATCTGCATCTGAATTGTATCTTTTCATTAATAAATACACTTAACGCCATCTAGGTTTGAATTACGAGACTATAAATATGATTAAATATTCATTTTAATTTTTATCTTTAATTTGACACCTTTTAAGATAGATTTTTGCAAGGAAAAGTAGTTTATATTATTTTCTAAAACCAAAAGTATCTTTACACCAAAATTAATCAAAATTAGTTGAGTGGTTTTTGCTGGAAAGCGTTACAAACATACAAAAAAATTATTTTTACATTTTGAGTTAAAAATTAAATTCAGTTTTATTATCCATGCGTTGTTTAGTTATAATTAACGTAACACCACGAATTTTGCAAATAATAGAATTATAGACTAACAATCAAATTGCATTTATTATGCTCGACGTTTGCAGCATCTACAATCAAGTCGATTTGTGAGTGGGTGCTGAGTATGCAATTTTGTGTATGCAATCATGTCGAATTCGTCGAGATGAGAATAAATCAATCTGTGCGGGTAGTTTCCACCCTCTTGAACATAACTGACAGAATGCTGGAATAAGGAAACGAAAAGAAACGTGCCTTCGCTCAAGCGTAACGTGCATTTTTTTTTAATATTTTGTTTTTTGTTATTAAATCACATCCAACCAAAAGGTCATCGTGTAGTATAAATATAAATAGATTTTTGTTGTATGTAAGATGTACTCGTATCTACAACATGGACTAATCAACTTTGCACAAACTTTTTGTAATCTTTTAAATCCTGCCCGCCGCCGAGGCGTCGGAACAAACGAGGCGTGTGCGTCAGACGCCGCCCCCGAACTAAACGCTTCACGACGCAAATTGCATCGTGTATCTTTACGATCATCGTCGCCGCGACTTTGCGAAGTCTCGCGGCGCGCGCGATAAATATTCAGCCCGCAGCGCCGACGTTCGCCACCTCCTGTCGTATCCTCTTCCAGATTGCGTCCTGATTGTAAACATATCTTGCCAAGACGTGGACCGGCTGCTAATTAAAACTAAACTTGCCGTAATTCGATTTGTGTCTTTTTGTGCTTCAATTCAAGTCTCAACATTGTTGAGTTTGAGTTGGCGTCGATCATAAATGCGTTTTAATTGCTTCATCGAATATCTTGTTACTGTTAAGAGATTGTTCCCAATTCATAACTGGATTAATTAACGCATATTGTTTGAAATTTTTATTGTGTTGCATTATATTTAGTTCGCTTTTGTATATTTTGTTCTAATTGTTTACGCGTGCAGCCGCTGAAAGCTCCTGCACGTAAAGTTTACATGAAAAGTGAAGTTTATTCTCTTTGTTCATCGTCTCACCGCTGCTTGGCGTGTTATGATTTGCTTTTGTTTTACTTTCTTTTACTTTATCCTACTTCATTCGGCTTTGTGCTGTTTTCTTTGCATTTTGCACGCCGTGGAGAATTTCTTTCATCACGCGGATATTATTAATATATTCTCTCTTGAGATTTACAGAGGTACAACTAGAGTGAAGATGTGATATAATTTAATTAAGCAAGACTTACTTCATCAAGTTTTATGCATTAAATATTCATAATTAAAATGTATACCATTAGTTATTATTAGTGATCTGTTTGGGGAAGGCTACATTTGATGCAAAAACATTGTAGTGCCATTTTATTTTATTTAAAGTCCAACTTTCATTCCTGATTTTGCACTCTAAAAGTTATTTTTTGGAATAAAAAGTTGCCTATTGCATTTTCCGTAATCAGGTATATCTATATATCAAATTTTATCAAAATTGGATCAGTGGTTTACGTGTGAAATCGTCACAAACAAACAAATACACTCAAATTTGCATTTATAATATTATGATTAAATCCTGATAAAATTTTGTAAGCCAACATTGGTCAACATTTTTCAAGATATTTTACCGTGAAAACAGAAAACAGAAAGCAGGAAAAAGTTAAACCCAGTTACAACTGCAGCGTTTAAATAATTTTGCTCGCCCGCTTTTTCAATTGCTATTAAATCCCCGTCGGATAAGATTAAACAATAAATTATGCTGGACTTTAATCCACTCTCAGATGCCTCTGCGCCAGATCGTAAAGCATTGTGAATGTATTTCTATTTTCCGCATTTCCCACGCACTACCACAGCCCACACTAGTGTTTGGTCCCTTTATTAAATTTACATCTCGGTCGCATGCATTCGCATCCATGGCGACGTCGATAACACCTATTGGTTTTAATTAAAATGTTCCTATATATGACCGGCACACGTGTACGTAAGCAACGTGTAAATTTTAATTAACAAGTTAGGTTGTTATTGTATGCGGAAAAACAAACAAAAATATAAATAAAATGAATTTAAAGCAATATAATTAATTACTCGATATCTTATAGCGTGGATGTCAATCATTACAAGTGGCAGTAATTCAGCGATGATTTAATTATCAGGCGGACCTGCAAAGCCGCGTCAAAGCGTTTGCTCTCTAGCATATTGAACCGAACTCTGAACCATTCAGATAATCTATAGCTGGGATTGGGGCCGAGAATTAGTCCGATAGATAATGGATAATCAAATTGGCTTCACTTGCTTTGAATTGCCAGCTCTGCGTCAGCAAAATATTAAATTAGTTATGGAGATTGAAGCAATTTATTTCCACTTGTCGTAATTTTCAAGGCAAATATGAAAGTTTTCGGTAATTTTTTCCATCATGACGAAATGAAATATTCAGTGGCCATTTACATGATTAAAACGTCAGCAGTCGAAATAGTGACTGCGTAAGTTTCTTCATTCTTTGTTCTTTTTTTTTGCTATTTACTTGTGTTGGGCAGTAGTTGGGGCGGCGATTGAAAGGAAATTCGCCGCGCGCTCGAAATGTAACACTGACGATGCGCCCGCCGCCGCTTGCCGCAACGAGCACCGGCTTTGATGTACACGCCACGAAGGACAAGATAGGTCGATCGAAGGGCGCGCCATCGCCATCCACAACGTGGGTCAGCGTCGTCGACGCGGTCATCATCATGGGCGGCGGTCGCGTTGAACCCGCACGCCGCCGCCGCCACCGCACGTCTATGCGTGCGACGCCACCCTCATCGCTGTCACCCGTACTAGCCGGCCGTTAATAGGTGAGACCATCAACCATAAATTTCGTTTTCTTTATTTCTCTTCTTTGTTAATAGTCAATATCTCAACTGTATACAAAACACATTGTACATTTGGTTGCATATAATTCTATAACCTAACCGTTTTTGCATCCTTTTGTGGAATGAATGAATGTACGAATGAAATGCGTGAAATGCGAAACAGCAATTTCTACTTAGAGAACAAACTAAGACTAGAGAAATAAACGAGGTTGGAGTATGAGGTGGCTTTGTCGTGGGAGCGTGTTTTCTAGTTTTCGGGCCGTTGGGGTCGAACTGACCGCGGCGATTTACAGCCGCTGAAAAAGTTCGATTCGACATCGCTGGATGTGAAAGGATTTTCGTCTGGTAATCAAAGGCCCCAGGTCGGCGTGGAACTATTTTGGCCTTTTCGAGCGCATCCATCATTCAATGTCTATTCGTATTTATTTGATATGAGGGTGGCTGCACATGTCTGTTCACCACCACTGTCCGCCTCCGCACGAAATTGCTAGCGGCGCCTGGTCAAGTTTGTCAAGTGAAGTCGTCGGCGAAATGCACGAGCGTAAGTGATTTATGAGTTCTTGCAACAATTCAATTCTTGCAAAGACTATTACACGTCGAAAACCGAAAAAAAAAAAACTTAAGTTAATTACATTCGCTTTCATAGTGGCATTAAATTTCTGGTTTGAAAGTCATATAACCTGGATTATCTGAAACTTATCCTAAGCTAAGCTAAGCTAAGATGATGAGATATTTGCTTTCACAGGATTTCATATCCTGCCAAAATGAATTAGCGTCTTGAATTAAATTTTTGTCACACAATTTTTATATCTTCACATTCTCAGACGTCTTAAATTAATAATTATCTAAATTTTACCAAAATTTAAGCAAAATTGTTTTTATTTTTTTAGTTTTTCGGCAATTTTCTGGGTTTTATTTATATTTTTTTGGTTTAAATTAATTACAACAATGCAATTAATATTTCCGTCATTAATTTCATAGCGTTTAGGATTGCTTTGTACGCGGTAGATAAAACAAAGGGTTATTTAATAAAAAGCACCACAAATAAAAACGTAAATGTCCGCCACGCTCGGCTGACAGTCGAGAGCGTCGCTGGAATAGAAAAAAAAGCGTTTCACCGCGCGAAAGGAAAATACGTTTACGCTTGTTTTTTGCCTTTTTATTGGAGGGCTGCCTAGCGTCGATATAAATGACCTGCCGTACACACATAAATCTTCCGCATTGCGCTAAATAAGACGACTCCAGGGAAATGCCAAAACGCAATGACGCTGCTAGTTGGTGGACGGTGACGACAGGGGGCGAAAAATTACATTTGCAACGCGGCGAACTCGAGCGCGGAAGCGCAACGATGAAAATCGTCATGCTTGAGAGTTTTTCTCGACGATGTCGTTTTCATTTCTGCAATATCATCGCTAGGCCTTTTTGTGTTTACAAACACTTCTTATTTACTTTTTATTCGTTTTTCTGTTGGAATTTTCTTTTATTGGCATAGAATTTTCGATTGTTAAGCGGTTTATTTGAGCGTCAAGTAGAAAAATGTTGAAAGGCAAAGCTAAACATGGTTTCGCTGCGTCAAAGCTCGGTTGACCAAAGTTACGCGCTTCGTGATGCATAAAACTTCGAAATTCTCGTGGATATTGAGCGCAAAACTTTTTTAAGCTGAAATTTGAGGTTAAACAAATAACCTACATAAATATTTTATTATATTATAAGCAAAATTCATCAAATAATCATTTTACGTGCCTGTTTGATGTAAAATATTGTTTTCCGCCCGTGTTAATATCCGTATCGACCGATTGCAATAGGAAATCAAGTTCAGCGCTGTGCTGACCGGCCTAAATTTAGCAAAACGGATCATCGTACTCTGCGCGTCGGAAATAGCGCCACTCGTACTATAAATAAATTAATATAATCGAATTCATGGGTTTCATTCACTTGCGCATCTCACGCGCCTCGCCCTAACTCGATTTGCCATCATCAGCGTCATGTTTTTATTCTCTCCAGCGACGCATTCCAGCGAATGCACTCAGCGCTTGATTACATTAAGAAAGACGTCAATCCGCTGACGGCCATTTGCAAATTTGCAGCGAGTACATTCGTGACAACACACGCGTACTTCGTATTCGCGTCATCAACGGAAACGATGATTATTTATTCTCATAAATGTTATGAGTCAAAAATTCAACCAGTGTTTTTCATTTTAAAAGAGATTCTAGTAAAAGAAATATTTTTTCGCAGTCCAGAGTGAAAAACCTTCCAATTTCTGTAGCTGTCAGTGAAGCAATGGAAAGATCGACGCAAGGATAAAAAATGAGACACGCCAAACAAATAGCAAGCTAAAGATAAACGCGTCGTAAAGAAAGAACTACCCCCACATGAACACGCGGAAAATCTTCTTCTGTTTTCATCTATCCTGACACGCAAATGTTTAAGCCCTGAACGATTTAGTAAATACCATCTAGGGAAAGAGGTGAATGTCAATAACAAAATGCGTTATTTGCACGTGGAAAATATTTGGCCACTTTGTTTGCCCCCGAGCAGACAAACGAAAAGATGGCAGACTTCGAGAAGGTAAATGAAAAACATTTTCATAACATGTCACTGGGCAATATTTTACCTTCAATGCGCGTGATCTAATAGAAAAACTCGCTTGAGTGATATACGAACAAAGAAATATTTTCAATGCAAATAAATAGCGCGACGCTGAAATTGAAAACGCAAAGCAACTGATTGCGTCTGTTTTTTTTTCTCTACCTGAAACTGTAGTTATAAATAAAATGGTAGTGAGTTCAAGTACTAATAAAACACTTCATAAAATTGAATTGCATTTATATTCAGAGAGGTGTAAAATTTAAATGTCAAGCAATCAGTTAAGTTATTTTTAAATCATGTAATGAGTAAAATATATATTTTTTTATTTTTACCTGCAATTTAAAAAAAAATTGTTTATTTTTATTGCGAAAAATGGCTTTTAAAATTCAATACAAAAAACAAAAAATAATAAAAAGCATAGCACTAACGCCATAACCTCAATTTTTTTTTGCAACTCTTGCCATCTACCGTCATTAATTAAAAATGATGAGAATTTTTATTTCAGCTCGAGTAGTGTTGGTTGCCGTACTTTCTGAATGTATAACCTTTTGTCTTGTTACACAACGGTGTATTTTCGCCTCGCCGCCGCCTTTCTGCCGCCTTCATGCGTGTAATAACATACTCGTGTGACGCATGCATTACTCATTAAATATTTAATCCGTACAATGTATGGCTCTCGTTGCGTTGCGTTCCGCTGGCTCCCTTTGCTCAGCCGGTCGTCGTCGTCGTCGTCCTGGAAGGCAAGAGTAATACATAGTTTAAATTGTAGCGGAGATACGACCACGCGCTTATTAGGAGCGACACGCAAAAGGGCCAGCGGCGTGCACGAAGCACCAATGCATTGCTGGCCTACGAGTGTTTTGAAAGCGTGGATGTCGTGATAATGCAGGCGCAAAGCATGAAAAGCACCCGGAAGATTGTGCGCTGACTGATAAGGGCACGTGCGTGCGCATTGCGTGGGTGGGTGATGGAGTATCCGGCATATTGTACGGATTAGTTTAATTATTCAAAAGGCAAAATGAGTGCTTCTAAGAACATAACATAACGTGTGATTTTAGAACAATCCATTAGTTAAATCACACACATATTTGTTTATTTCCGAAATAAAATTTATTTATATACATTATTACTACTCGGATATTAATTTCGTCCATATGGAGGTTTTGTGTTTGTTTTAAAGTAATATTTTCCCGGTGGTGAAGTTTTTGCCATTTTTCCAAATCTTGTAGTCGGAAACCCTAATGGACCATGCGCAACAAAAGCTGGCGAACTCAATGATTCTATACAATACGCCAACGCCATCATGTGACTATAATAACCTACAAATTTAACCTTAATTATAACAAAAACATAACCCCAACTTTTACGCTTACCATTATGATCAAAAATAATCCCAGGTTGTTTAGACCCATTATTCGCGAAGAAGTCATACTTCCCACACTCTTTGGCAGTACCCATACTGCCAGCACTGGTATGCAAACACACCACCTTTGTAGCATCCGTTGGTGTTATCTTAAAGTCCTCAAAAGCTAGATATCCATCAGTAAAAAATTCAGCAACTGGGTCTAACGCAGTGATGACATCTACTGGCAACACAACTGACGTGGTCCTACCAGCACATCCAGCTATATGTGCCCCTAAACCATGCCCAATTAATTCAATATATCCTTGGAGTATTCCCTTTCCAAACCAGTCTAATATATGTTGACCGATGATATCTCCAACGTCATAAGTACTCTGTGCTGCGGAAATATAATCAGGATCGTAGGAAGATGGCCAGTGACAGAATATCAAATTATAACACTCGTCAAGTTTCATGTAGGCATCTATCAGATCATCAAATACTTTCAATTTTCCAGTTAGATACCCAGGGATTATGATGATTGTTTTACAGGTACCATCAAAATTTGCTATCCAGTAATCATTGTCCTCTTCGTAGCTTAATTTCGTTGTTTTTTGATTTGTCAGGAAAAAATCGATAACACTTTCGTTTCTAGGCTTTTTATCGTTTGATGGTGGAGGTGGGGGTGGAATATTTGTAGGTGGAGGTGTCGTGGTACCAGTATCATCCTCGTCACCTGGAAATTTAAACCTTGAAAAGTCTTGTTTGAGCTTCGCATAACCATCGGTAGTATTACCGTCAGTCAGTGCGGAGTCAGTTATCACGAGCAGTATTAATATTAATGCCGACTTCATGTTTTGAGAGCGCTGCAAATCTGAAACAATAAATACATCGACAAATCGCTGAGATTGTTTTATATACAGCCAGCCAATATGGTAAACAGTGGAAACGTGTTGATTCTATTTTCATTGTGCGAAATCCCTAAATAAATAGTTGTATTTTTGTTATCGCCGATGTGATTTATGAAAATATTTATCGAGTTAATATTTTTTCATTGTGCAAAACGCAAAAGGTAAAAAAGCAAAAGCATTACTTTATTAATTTATTATTTATACGATTCCACATAAAATATATCAAAATCACATCGAAATATTTCATAATCATATTCATAGGTCATAGTACTGATGAAATTTATAAATAAACATAACAAACATATGAATAACCATGTTTATTAAATATGGAAATTAATTTATTATTTATTATATAGTTTATTATATTTATTAAATCTAGTAAAGAGAAAATCCATCGAATCCATACTGGTATCAATCTTATTCTCTTTGGGTTCATCTTTTTTTCTTGTATCTTGATAATTATTGTGTTTATTTAGTCGGCTGAACATGAAATCCATCGAATCCAGACTTGTATCAACATTGGCTTTAACTGGTTCGGTTTTTTCGTGGAGATCCTCACGGTTATTGTATTTATTTATATGATTCAACATGAATTGGAAATCATTTGGAGTTGAATCGGGTTTTGTATTTTTCGGCTCTTTTTTGAAACTATTGAAGTTGTCTGGTTTTTGTTGTGGAGCTTGTGTAGTTATATGTAAATTTCTTGTAGAAAAATAATAATGCCCTGGTGCTTCATGGTTTAAACTTTGAAATGTTGCTTGATTACCACTTCGATCATACGCTACATATTTATGATTATTTAAACTTTCATTGTAATAATCTATAGCTCTCCGATGGTCACACCAAATATCTATTAATAAGTAAATAATTTATTTGATTGGAATTAAGTTGGTTATTTAGTATTTCGTTACCTAGGTCACATCCAGGTTGATTACTACCATCATTCGCAAAGAAAACAACATCTCCCGTAGGTTCAGAACTGCCCAAATAGTTCTGATTAGTGTAGAGTGAAATCACCCTAGAGGCATCTTTACTAGTTAGTTTGTACTTTGCATAAGTAAGATCATAATCCGTGAAACCCGGCCCGCAGGGATCCAGAGCAAGAAGGACATCTACAACACGTCCACGCCGATTGGCTATTCTTGCCGCTGTGCCAGCAATATGCGCGCCCATCGAATGCCCTACAATTTCGACTAAATGTTGCAATAGACCAAATTGATGCAGTTCAACAATGTGTTCAGCCACATGTGCAGCCACAGCTGGTATTCGCTTTGCCGCCTCGTAATACCCATCTGTATCATCTTCAAACCTCCATAGTACATTCACAACATTACAACACTTTTCCTTCGCGAGTAATTCCTCATAAGATTTATCGAAAGCATTGTATTGATCTGGATACCAGCCATGAATTAGAAAAATCGTCCTGCAATGCGGGTTGATATTCTCGTAGTAATCGATGTCTTCTGAGTCAAATCGTATTGCTCCGTTTGCCGGATGGATATCTTCTAATGTGATCGTGGCTGGGGGTCTTTTGAAGAACATGCCTTTGAAAAAATCAATCAAGCTAATGTGAACTTGAGGAAAAATATTGATTGTGATGCTCACTCTGTACACGTGTGTTGAGAAGCAGAACGATAAATCCGTAGGAGAAAAATGGTGAGATTTTCGTTGCGCACATTGTTGCTTTGCAGCGTGATGATTGTTATTTTTGTATCGCACATCCGTCGCGGTTGGAAAACGTTGTTGTTCCATCGCAGCTGTTTGTGTGTTTTTCGTTGTGACGCCAGTGGAAAACTGGTTTGTTTGGCTTTTTATTGTGTTTTATTGATATTTACTTTGTTTTTTGACTGCTTCAACCAACATTTTATTTCAACTGTGTTTTTTTGTTAGCGTACACTAAACATAATATTGTTTTGTGAAAATTTGTGAAAAATAAATTCACATGTGTTGGTTTTGATGATTTTCGGAAAAGTCATGTTGTTTTCATCGCTCGAAATCAATAAATCTGAGAATCAAGTCAAAGGATCAAAGACATTCTTACTCCAAGGTGAATTTATGTGTTTATGTTATACTTGTTCATATTGTGCTTACATCAAACAGGAAGCACAAGTAATCCGATAACCTTACGCTTCGATGCTTGAATACTCCTCGTCGAAAATTCGAATTTGCTCGCACGTGCGAAGGTGTAAATGTAATGTACGGATTAAGGTTTCGGAATGTGGGTGGTGCAAGTGTGTGCGCACGAAAAAACGAAAAGAGCAAACTTTTGATAATAAAGTTGGATGGGAAAATAAGTATCTGGCTTGGCGGTGTTTCACAAAGTTGTAATGTATTTCTGTGTTTCTTGAAATCGAATACTTCTTATATCCTCTTCATGCGCGTCCATAAATTCTGAAAGTCGAATTGAAAAAGAAACGAAGTGTGCCATTACGGGCGTAAACATAAAACAATGTCCTAATTGAAAAAACAAGGAAATATTAGTAAAGGGATCTGCTTCTTTGTATGTTTGTTTTCATTTCACGCCTAAACCACTTGGACAATTTTGATGAATTTTTGTATAGAGATCACTTGACTCTTGAATTAAGACATAAACTACTTTTTGTTACGATAACTGAAAGATAAAGGACTCAAATGGGATAAAAAGAGTTTATGGGAAAATAAATGTTATAGTTACATAATTTGGACATAGATGGCACTAAAATCAATTTATTTGAACTTAATTTTCAGAAGAGATTTCGTCAAAGAAGAACTAAGTTCAATTACTAAAAAAAATCTGACAAAGGTGATGTTGAAATCATATAATCTGAAAATACAATCACATAAATTTGTCCCTCTTAAGATCACACCCGAGAAGTGGATATAATAATATTTTCATCTTGAATTGCGCCGAACTTAACTCATAAATTCACCCTCATCATCCACACCGAAGGTAAATATAGACTAGACTAGACACCGGCGCGTGGGAAGCTCAAGAGAAAAACCGATAAACGTGACGCCTTGTTATAGATCCTCTTTTTTTCCGTGCTGTATCCCGGCGTGTCGCTATCACAACTCGTTGAATTTTTCTTTGCTGAATTTTTTTTTGCGTTCACCAAGCGATGGATGTGATGTTGAGTGGTTTAAGGAGCATGTTACCTACTTATTGCGATGCGCTCGCACTCGACATGCACTTTTCGCACATTGCTTCATTTTCCAACATATTCAGCAAGGCGCATAAGTACTAAGTGTTCTGCTTGCGGCCGGTTGCTATGCGCCGGTATCATTCACTCATTCACCACCACTCGGCGGTGCATCGACGACGTCATGCGACGTCGTCGTGAAATAGGCCAAAGTTATTGATCACATCGTCAATTGTAATTGATTTGAATGGGTGAATGGGGCTGCCGGGGTCGACGCTGAGCTTATGTACTTTAATGTTGCAGCCAGCAACCTCATTCAACCAGCTCTCAGGTGCAGCGACATCAATTTCATATTTCATTCATATAGGTAACCTACATGGCGTTGATTTAGTTGGGAATGTTTAGCGAATTAATCGATACATCTTAAGTCTTTAAGTAGATACTACATAAACAATAACATTGTCTATAGACTTAGTTTGTGCGGAATATTGCTAGTCTAGACAAAATCTAATTTCATATCACAACAAAGAAACCAGCATATTCCATTCATATTTATCAGGTTTCAGTCTGCGGGTAAAGGAGAATGAGGATGATGTGATGCATACCTGGAAGATTTAAGTTGATTGTGAGGTCTCACTGAGTAATAGACCAGTTTATGCAACGCAGCATTTATTCACCATGGTAGCAGCAACGTTTGCAGAAGGCTTACTTGCGCTAGTAACGTTATATTACCGCATTATACTAGATAACAGTCAAGTTGGAGTTTATAATTGAATTTCGGCCGTTATTAAATTACGCACGAACATGAAGCTATGTGAGCTTTATTATTTCTTTAAAAAATGTTTTCGACTGGTGGAAATTTTTGACAGTGTTTATTATCAGCAATAAATTGGAAGCTTTTTTTACAGGTTACATCCTGATGGCGAATTGGGCGTTTGAGTAAATTATGCAAAAAATCAATATGCACACGAAACGGCGCAGGGCTGTTCAACAAAAGCAAAGTTTTATTGTCTTGCAGCCGGCGGCGAATTTAAAACAAACACGCGCATTTTTGTTTTGAATATTCCATTCGTTCGGTAGAGAATCTTTTTTTGTTTTTGGTTTTAGAAAATTAAACATGGTTTGCGCAAACAAAGGAATAATACATTTTCCGCACGCAATTTTTGTATTTATCGTTTGCATTGCAATAAAACTAAAAATAAATAAAACTTGAAAATAAAGTATTATTGTTCTTATTGGTTAGAGAGATAATCGTAGGCAAATAGGTCCATATATATATACATAATAATGGTGATCGCGTTGGGTTTATGTGCGGCTCTTATTACGCATTTCGCGATTCTCCAATTTCTGGATGAATTTTTATGTCTCTCCGCACGCAACGTAAAATGCGCTATTGTATTTCATGCTTTGATGATATGCCATCACGCATAACACCCGTTTTCTTCGAGTTAATATATTATTATTTGTGCTGGCGAATGAATTGGCTATAGTATTGTAGCAGTTTGAATAATAATGATATCTATATAAATGGTGGCGTAGCAATTTGATGCGAATCGAATTCTATCGCTATTCCTATTTCTATTACGGCTGCGTATCTACGTTTCAACCCTCGGTGTGATATTAAAATCGACCAATAGACACTATATTGCTATGGTGTGTGCATTGGTAGTGCGCGTGTTGAAAGTTGTCGTCTCGATTGCGGTTGGGAAACGCGCGGTTCGTTGAACGCTATCAATCGATGCGCGTTGTGATTATCTACTGGCAGACTCAAGAGAAGTCGTTACCTGACACGATAACAATGGGATTTTATGGTCATGCTGATGGAAATTTTATTTTGTGCTTTTTAAGTCCATTTTTAATATCATGGATATTATTATGTGTCATCAGCTATATTATACAAGTATAATTCACTTATATGAACTTTTATCCCTTTTTTATCCGCTGTAAGTTATTATTTTGCAACAAAAAGTAGCCTATGTCCTTTTCCACGTTCCAATATGTCTCTATTCCAAAATTTATTAAAATCCATCAAGCGATTTAAACTTTAACACGAAACAAACCGACAGAATTTCATTTTCTGCTATAATCAATATAAGAAAATCAATATTTTGTTGTTTATATCACTGCAGAATTAAATGAATGCGTATTTAGCTGTTAATAAATTGCTTTGGCTGTTTGTGACGTCAAGACACTCCCCCTAAGAGATAAATTACTCAATTTTAAGAAGCGAACAAAACTGCATGCTGAAAATACGCTTCAATTATTCAATGAGCGGCACAAATCGCAAATCTACTCCAAATCGAATTTGGATTCGCATTTCGCATCGGATTTGTCTAAATGACGGGAAGTTGAAGCAGGCCATTCGAAAAGTTCGCGAACCGTGCGCTAAAGTATTAATTTGGCTTTTCGCGCTTTTCGCTCAGCAAATCAACGCAGACTATGAAGTGATAAGCAATTGAGAGAAAAAAAATTCGATTCAATTAGTACTTTCAATCTCGTTCACGTAAAATCATTATTTTTGAGCTACTTTTAGCGAATTTTATTTTTATAAATATATTTTGTATTTTACTACGATAGATTTTTACTTGAAAGAGTAGTACTAAATCATCGCCGGAAGAAATATACCACAAAATTGAGCGTTACCACGTTATCCCTCCCGAAAAAAACACACCCAAAGGTGCTAAAGTGCTAATATCGCTGGCATTAAATCATCCCGCCACCCTGGTCTATACCGCCCTGATAGTAGTTCATTTCACACGCCAAACCGCCCCTCGGGCGGCAACACTGTTACAAAACTGCTCGCGTCCTAGCGAAACGGAAGATATTTTACACATCGGATCAATGGGCGTGAGTAAAGACCCTTTAATATCTGGCCGTAATGTCATTCGATGATGTACGTTCAAAACAAGCAAAAACTAAAATTAGACACAATGTTGCAAGGCTGAAATGTTGAAAATTTCAGAAAATTGCGACAGTTCAGAAAAAAAAGTGTTGTTGCCATGTTGTTGTTGCTGGTCGTTCGGATATATTTTTTGTGCTTGTGTTTTGTGCTGATTGCGCTAATGGAACGTGTTTCATTTACAGAATAACCAAATCGCGCAAATGCGTCGCTAAATGCTGACGATTGTGAATACGAGCCGCAAAAGCTTCACCTGCAGCTTTTGCTGTTAATTGGTTTATGAATACAATTCATCCGGGCACAAACAAATAAATAAAACAAAATTGTTAATTAAATTGTAGCTGCGATAAAATTTGTTAAATATTTAGAAAAAGCTTCAAGTATAGGCTACTTTAGTATCACCTGATCAATACATGTCGGCTTATATTAATTACTTGCTTTTGCCCGCGACTTCATCCCGGTAGTGTTTAATAAAAATGTAATTTGTTTTTACTCTCTTGTTCTAGACATAGTATCTATGTGTCAAGTCTATCAATAAGATTCGCAATTTTATTTTAAAGAAATTAATTATTTAAAGAATTGCTCTTAGTGCACTTAGCGCGTCATCTCGGATTCAACTATTTAACTATAACTATGATTGAATCTCAATGTCAACTTTTATCCGGTAGAAAAAGGCTGTCTTTAGGGTTTTCCTGGAAATTATTCGAATTTTTCTCGCCGTAAAAA